ATCAAAGTAGCAACCATCATCAAACTCCTCCTCCTCCTCATCATCATCATCGTCGTCGTCGTCATCATCGTCGCATCAACAAAATAATAAGCAACGTACTTTATGCCATCCTTTCATAGGCCACTTTCTGTTCTTCATCATGAACCCGGAATACCTAACCGGGATCTGATTGAAAGACTGTCCGGATTTCAACCCCTCCAAAATCTCCCAGTCGCCATCTTGTTTAGGCGGATTAGCGACCAGGGACATGTTGTTGTTCAGTGTAGACAGTACATTGTTGTTTACCATCGTTGTAGAGTGCAGTTGTTGTATACTGATTCTGGAGTCATGGGAGGCCAGCGAGGTCAGATCAGCGTCACCATCGTCGTCATCCTTATGTGGGCAGTCAGGAAAATTAAAATTGTTGTTTTTTTTCAATGTTAAAAAAGTTTATTAGTAATATCTTTTACTCAACCTCTGCAAAGTGTTACATCATTAAAATCGCAATATGAAAAAATATGGTGACCAATATATAAATTAGTAACATGAAGTTAATATTATAAATTGAAGTATACAGAACCAGAAGACACAAGAGATAGAGCGAAAAAGAGAGAGAGGGAGGGAGAGGGAGAGAGTAAGCAAGAGAGAAAGAAAAAGTAAAAAGAGAAAGAGAAAAAGTAAGACAGAGATGAGTGCTTGTTGAATGATTATAAAAAACACTTGTTAGACAAATTTTAGATTTATTCAGATTAGGTTATATAACAACAGGAAATTCACCCCCCCCCCCGCATACAACACACACACACACACACACACAAACACAAACACACACTCAAAACAGAAAAAGCCCACGGATTAATAAACACACATACATTCATATGTTTACAAAAGTATACAAAAATGATGTTGCTAATGATAGTGATATAAACAAAATATATATGAGTAAATGTGCATGTATGTATGTATACAAACTTGTATGTATGTGTGTGTATATATGAATATATGTACGTACGTATGTACGTATGTGTGTATGCATGCATGAATGTACGTATGAACATTCATAAAACTGGTTTACATCACAAAGTTCTGGACAGCCAAGACCACAACAACAACAATGACGTTAATAATAATGATAATGATGGTAACTATGACGATGATGATATTATTTATTATGATTATTTATGCTGTAGATGATGATGATAGCAAAGAGACATGAGTGAGGTGACAACTGTGGTGACGATGGCCACGATGAAGACGACGACGACAACGATGTTGAACGACTTCGTTGAAGCTTCGAAAAGCATGAGAAAAAAATAATGATGATTTTGAAAATTATGAAAATGATGATGAATGACAACATGAAAATAGTTACTCTGTAATGATAATAATAGCAGTAATAACAACAACAAGAACAATAACAATAGCAGCAACAACAACAACAATAATAATAATAATAATTGCAGCAAAAACACTACAGCAATTATTATGAAGACATCAAAAACATGATGATGGTGATGATGATGATAATATCTATTTGATGGTTGCAGGTGTCTCAAATTATTATTATTATTATTATTATTATTTACTTACTATAATAATAATGATTATTACTATTGTGTTTAAAAACAAGAGGCTAGGCTGTAATAAATAAAATTATTATCTAGGAATAAGGCTACAAAAAGTAAGGAGCAATGAGTGATTTGCTGTGAAGAGTCATTATCATTTCAATTGTTATTCAAGTGTATTTGTTTATATATATACATATACATACATACATATACATACGCATTAACGTAACGATGATGACGAAGATGATGACGACAACGATGACGAAGATGATTACGACGACGATGATGAATATACGTGTTGATGTTGTTACCAGAGGGAAATCACATCAATATTATCATTATTATTACTACTGCAGTGACTGTTGCTATTGGGGGAAAGTTAAATGCTTTCTGAGGTCCCAATAAATTGCTGATTAAAATGATGACGACGACGACGATGATGAGTAAGAGGATTGTGATGAAGATGACTGTGAAGATGATGATGATGATGACGGTGTTGCTGCTGCTGAAATTAAAATATTATGAATAAAAAACTAAGCAGACAAGTTTTTACGTTATAATGAAAAAATAAAATTTTATGAAAATTTAACAAAAAAATTTGAAAAAAAATGAATAAAAGAACAATAACTTGATATCTAATAATTTAATAATATAAATAAAAAAGAATTCTTAAGAAAGTGCTACTAAATTAATAATATCAGGTTTAATTTGGTGTTTTAATAAATTTGTGTACAAAAAATAAGTTTACATAAAACATAAATAAATAAATCATGGTAATGATAATAATAATATTATTATCATCATTGTCATCGTCATCATCGTCGATAGTTATGATGATAACATTACAGATGATAACAATAAGGATGAACCAACAACATCAATCCTGATAGTAAGTTGTATGATCATAATAATTACACAGGAATCTTAACAACACTAGCAATAATAATCATGTATGTGTGCATTGGTGCGTGTGTGTGTGTGTGTGTGCGTGTGTCAAGGTGCGGTGAGTATGTGTGTGAGTGCAGTGTACTTTAAAAAGAAGGTCCAATTAAATCAATGGATACATATTCATTTTTTTACATATCATACCTGTATAGCTAAATGGTTCATCTATGTAAGATTGCAGCATGAGGCAAGCATATGATCAATTGTATGAATCAAAAGAAATTATTATTATGGTTATTATCATTTTTATTATTATAATTAGTGTTATTATTACTGCTATTTTACTATTTTAGATAGGATTATTGTTGTAATATGTATTCTGAAAAACAGAAAATAATAATAATTAGTCTTTAAAAAATTAAATTTTAAAAATATGAAAAAAGATATAAAAAAAATGGCTAACCGATATGGATTTGATATTCTTCTTATTATTCTTTGTAAATTTACTACCCTTCATCATTATTGTTTCTTTGTTGCTGGCTGTGGAAGATGCATTAATTCCCAAAGTCATCTGCTCCAAACTTGTTTTCTTATTTTTTGACACTAGTATAGATTTAGATTTTGTTGAAGTTGATGCTAATGATTGTGATCCAGCAGCTGCTGCTGCTGCTGCAGATGATGACGTCGTGGTCGTTGATGATGAAGAAGACGAAGATGATGACGTGGTTGATGATACATTTATGGGGTTGTGGTTGTCTGAGTGATTTCTTGCTGAAGTTGCAGTTGTTGATCCAATGCCAGAAAAATCTAATGAACTTGCCTCAAAACCCTGTTGTATTGTTTAAAAAAAAACTATATTATTATTTACAAATTTACTCCCCCTACTTCTTTTCTTTTGCTACTACTACTACTACTGCTACTATTACTTCGATTACCAATACTACAGCTATGACAACAACCTCTACTAAACTACTACTACTACAACTACATTCTTCATTAAAATAAATTACTTTTAGTATTAATAAAAGTAGCAGCAGACTAGTAAATCATGAATCTACATTTAGAAGTAGCAGTAGTAGTAATAGTAGCAGTGTAGTAGTAGTAGTAGTAGTAGTAGTA